ATTTCTTGAATTCGGGAACCATACCTAATATTATTTAAAACGCCCATTTCCTATTATTATAATTAAAAAATTATAAAATATAGTAAATTAATTCTATATTTAGACGGGGTGAGGGTGGGAAAGGTCTGCCCCGGTTGTTCTGTTACATCGTTTAAATTGGTTCGTTATAGAATGATTTGAATGATTTATATGAGAAGAAATACACTTTAATTATAAAATTTTTGTTGTATAATTTAGAATTTAAGTTCAAAATAGATGTGAAGCATTTGTGGTCTAAGGGCAGAATTCCACCCTTCCAAGGTGGAGATCCGGGTTCGAGTCCCGGCAAATGTACTTTTTGTTTTTTTTGTTTGTGAAATAAACATAAAATTATTTTCATATTAGAGATAAAGTCCATAAACCTTATTTATCGACAAAAATAGATTTTATTTTTGTTATTCAGTTTTGTAATTAAATTTGATTTGTTTATTATAAATTTTGGTTTTTTCAATCAAAACGAACTCAGACTGTTTGATCTATTTATTTTTTTTGCGAACAAAACATGTAATAACAGTGAAAACAAAGCTGTTGTTACAAACAACGTTTGGGTGAACATATTATTTTATTTAAAGTTATATTAACAACAAGCGAATTCGACAATAAACAACTTGAAAAATTTATCAAAGAAATTGATAACAACGAGACAAATCATAAACAATAAGTAGAACATAATTGACAGACTCAACCATCGAAATATAGTTCTGTAGTCGATTAACAGTTACTTCCATGAGATGGCTTTGACAGAGTGGATTATCAGTTTGCTCTTCAAATAGTGTATTAAAAATGTCTTAAAGTACTATTGCTTCGAAGCAAAATTTATCAAGTATACGATGCCAATACACTTGGTTTGTTTTTAACATTTTTTTTGTTATTTTGTTTAAAATATTACCAAATCAACTGTATTTATTTACTTTTAGATGTTTGAAATGGTTGGTGAAACGGTCTAAACCATTTTAATGTTATTGGTTGTGTTGTTGGTTATTTAGTTTCTGAATAGTTATATTTTTAATATCCTATTTGGGCTTATCTTTTCCCGTAAGTTGGGAATATTTTCATTAAGAATTGACCAATAATAATAAATAAGGTTAATGGAATAAATATGGTTTATGGACAGACTTAAGAGGAAAAACCAGGGACCAAACTAAATAAAGCTGTTATAGTAATTCCAACAAGTGTCACGTCAATTGGAGATAATTGTTTTAATGAATGTAGCAGTCTTCGTATTCTGACTATACCATTCAGTGTCAAGTCATTTAATTGCAATCGATTACCATTGTGCACTTAAGTATTTCAAAACAAGTAATTAATATGATACTGTCATTTTTTGTTACAATTTTACTAAAATAGTGTTTTTAATTTTTATAACATTTATACATGTTATAATATCATGAAAACACATTTAAAAATAATATCAACAACATTTTGTCACAACATATGTTATTATCATATCATTTTTTGTTGAGTATGAATTGTCTATGATATGAAATTAAAAAATATTGTGTTAAAAAACATACAAACAAATATCATCAATTTCACCACATTACTATTTAAATATTCATTTTATTTAATAATCAACATTTTTATATCTACATACAAATAACAAATATCATACAAATTGTTTTTTCAACAAAAGTCGTATATTAATGTTCAAAAAAATAAAAACAAAATTTACATTCAAATATAAATTACAAGTTGTTTATCATCATGTCAATTTTTTGAACAATAACAAAGCTGCGCACAAAATTGAACAATACATTTACTTCTAAATTTGCAAGCATGTTCACTTCTTTCATAAATTCCTTCATTTAATCAAAATCATCAGAAATGATCATTCACATCTTTTTAACTGCCACGACATTTCCTCTGAATTTTCTTTTGTAAAATACACCAAAAGAGCCCAAACTATATTCATTCTCTAGTGTTATTTCACCAGCATATAACTTAGTGGATATCTCACTATTTGCTTTGACTCTGATCGAATAAAAATGTCCAAGTTAGTTTGTAAATTTTTAGAGACTATCAACACCTCACTTTTAATTTTAAGTGTACACTGAATCAATAAAAGAGTTTCGACTTCACATGCATAGCCTCGTTTTAATGTGACTATTTCTGGGTTCATCCGGAGTCGAAATTTCTCATTCTGCTCTTTAAGCGTAAATTGAATTTTAACAGCACGTTCTTTTGAATTGCCAACACAAAGAAGTTGTCGAATTTCTTTGTCGACTGGGATCTCTTCTATTTCACTGTTGAAATCAATTTCTGATAAATTACAGCACAATCCACCTCGAATGGTAGTGAATCGAACATTAGAATTTTTCATGTGGAATATAGTTGTAGTTGGATTTTTATTCATTTTTCGTTGTATAGTCTTTACACCTTCAAACACTACAATAATGAGCAAAAATATAACAAAAGCAGCAAACAAAATAATCATAACAAAGACCCACCACATTGGAGAACATTGAGATAAGTCGTCACTGATGTTTGGGACACTCCAGAATGAATATTTTGAATTTTTTGATTGAATACACTTTTTAATTGTTGTGAAATTTACACATCTTTGATTGAATAAAACATTGTTTTTTATACAACTTGTGCATTGAATTTCAGAGTATTACGTTTTGTAGTAACATTAATCAATAAATTTTTTGTTAAAAAAACACAGAAATCTTCAAGTACTTTGGTTGTTTTAATCCACCTTTGTCTGCTTGGATTCAACTGAAACCATATCGTACAAAGAGTTCACATCTAAATATACTCTGATCACATTCGTTCGTCTCAACATGGTGTATATCACGATAATTATATCGTGATATATATATTATTAGTGATACAAGAAAAATGATTTCCAAAATTAATTCATTATTTATGTCTTTATGCTCACAACCAGGCGTATTAATTTTTTGCCTTGTTTTTGTTTTAAAAAACAGGGAGCTGGTGTTATTTTTTTCCCAAAAACACATTTTTAAAAGAAAAAACATTCTATAAAATAAGACTGAAGCATTTTTGGGATTCGGCATTCACTGTGTAAATTTTGGTAAACGCCTGGTTGTGACCACTGCTAATCCAAATACTCAACAACTCTTTACGTGTTCCTCTAAATGCCTTCATTTGCACTTAAGTAGTTTTTAATTGTGTTTAATAAAATAATTTGCCTATCAACGATCTTTTCCGTATACAGTAAAATTGTATTCGAAAATATTTGTAGTTAGCTTCGCCACTTTTTGTTGCACATCATCAGCAAATTCCAGTTCAATTCACATTTCAAAGTACATGGAGAAGATAATACATATGAAGCTTCAGAGTCGATTATTCCATAATTTGCAAGAAAACTTGTGATGTGTTTTCAAAATTATACCACATTCCCGTTTCTTTCAAAAAAAAATGATTCTGACAAACAAGGACAACACACTCTTTTCGTTCTTTCTCACAAAGAATGGGCTTCGTTAATATTTAATAATTCCATTGATCTGAGCAAAATGTCAGATTTGTTATAATGACACACTTCATCATTTTCAATCACAATCTTGATCAGCGCCATGAAGTGTTCAAAAAACAATTTCGTTGAAGTGACTTTATACAATTACACAATTGATTCAAATTGTTCATTCATCACTTCAATGTTCCGTTAAAAGAATCATTTGTCAAACAATAAACTTGTCATAACGACTAAAAGCCATATTTCAACAATAAACGTGTTAGTTTGTATAAAGGTATCTTCTTTAGAAAAGAATTCAAAAGATTCATGTCGTTTATGACATCCTTTGAAGTACTGAAAAGTAGTTAATCATTCATTTGGTCGTATCCCTCTTGTCTTGCTGAATTGAGTTGAGGCGTAATATATTTAAATGGTGCATTCTTTTCGTTCAAAAACATTTTAATAAGTTTTACCGCCTTTTTGAGTATTCTGAGTAAATTTCAAATCTTATCTGGAGAGTCAATGTTAAGTTAATTATTCAACGGTTTAATTTCGATGTTCTTCAGTAATTAGAAAAAAAGAAAGTGGAAGCTTCTTCATTACTATAAATGCCACTTTTCCATTTTGACAACTCTTCATCCAAGTTGTTTGTTGTTGATTCTTTGTCATAATTGAATTCCCGAAATTTGATCACAATAACATAATCAACTACATTCGCAAAGAAGTCTACAATATATATTAAATGATGGTATATTTAGATCAGCGTAGTTATATTTTTGTTATGGTATTTTAATTGGAGTATTAGTTTTGAAGAATTGTGTTTTTGTTTTCTTTGTTTCGATAAAAAATATACAATTGTTTTACTATAATTTTACTATAAATAATTTTGCACAGACACACCAAAGTTGCACGGTTTCAATAATATAATTAATTTGAATTCATATAAAAATAAGTTTGATTTACAATTTTTAAATATAATTGGTATTGAAATAATTACACTATAATATTAATCTTTTTTCAAGAAAGAGAAAAAAATTTAAAATATTATTATTTCCATTGTTTATACAATTATTTCCTTAATATTTAGATTGAATCAAATAATACAAAAAATATACAATAATTTTTTAAGGAATAAAAGAAAATGATAAAAAATTTATTGATATTATTTATAAAACTATATAAATAAATAAAAACAAAAAGATATAAAATAATAATTCCATTAAAATCAGACAAAATAAATAAATAATAAAAACAATTTAATAAATATGAATATGGAAAAAATATAAGGAAAAACAAATTTAAAATATAAACGGAAAAAAATCTATCAATACAATATGTAAATATGTCAAAGAGAAGCAAGCAGGGTGGGTTTTATGTTACTATTAAGTAACAAAATGGGTGGGTTTCTTGTTACTATCAAGTAACAAAATGGGTGGGTTTCTTGTTACTATCAAGTAACAAAATGGGTGGGTTTTATGTTACTATTAAGTAACAAAATGGGTGGGTTTCTTGTTACTATCAAGTAACAAAATGGGTGGGTTTTATGTTACTATCAAGTAACAAAAAATGGGTGGGTTTCTTGTTACTATTAAGTAACAAAATGGGTGGGTTTCTTGTTACTATCAAGTAACAAAATGGGTGGGTTTTATGTTACTATCAAGTAACAAAAAATGGGTGGGTTTCTTGTTACTATTAAGTAACAAAATGGGTGGGTTTCTTGTTACTATCAAGTAACAAAATGGGTGGGTTTCTTGTTACTATCAAGTAACAAAATGGGTGGGTTTCTTGTTACTATCAAGTAACAAAATGGGTGGGTTTCTTGTTACTATCAAGTAACAAAATGGGTGGGTTTTATGTTACTATCAAGTAACAAAATGGGTGGGTTTTATGTTACTATCAAGTAACAAAATGGGTGGGTTTTATGTTACTATCAAGTAACAAAATGGGTGGGTTTTATGTTACTATTAAGTAACAAAATGGGTGGGTTTTATGTTACTATCAAGTAACAAAATGGGTGGGTTTTATGTTACTATTAAGTAACAAAATGGGTGGGTTTTATGTTACTATCAAGTAACAAAATGGGTGGGTTTTATGTTACTATCAAGTAACAAAATGGGTGGGTTTTATGTTACTATCAAGTAACAAAATGGGTGGGTTTTATGTTACTATCAAGTAACAAAATGGGTGGGTTTCTTGTTACTATTAAGTAACAAAAAATGGGTGTCATTTACATATATTTATTAATAAATATTTATTCAAAGGTTTGTTTTATTTTTTATAATATAATTGATTAATTGTTGTTTAATTTTTTGGTTTTTTTTCATAATATATAAATATATAATTTATTATAATAAACAATAAAAATCAGTTACAATTACAATTAAATTTTAAAACAAACACTTTTTATTAAATTGTTAATAATATTACAATTATCTTAGCTTTTTCAATACTATCATATATAAAAAAATATGTCATTTGAATTACTTTTAACACTTTCACAACCCAAAACTTTTTTTAACAAGAATAAACAAATAAAAAAATTGTCCAAATCATTGTTATTCCAAAACCCCTTTCTAACCAAAACCAGCCAATAGTCATTTTTATTTTATTTAAAATAATTAACAAATGAGAAATCAATTACCTAAGATTGATCAAAAAGATTTTTTTGGATGAAATTTCATATAGCTTTATCGTGTTTCAACAATTGATATAAAACCGCTACATCGTCAATCCACTTATAACAAACAATGTCAAATAGTCACATCAACAAATATAACGACAATATAACCACAAATCTCGTTACAATCAAATGACAAAATACTTTTTATATAAAAAATAATCAAAAATATTAAACCTTTATTAGACCCCATCTTTCTTTCTTATGGTTTGTTTTTCTTTAACACAAATAAACTCAATATAGCGTCAAAAAGCGAATAATGCAGTTAATTCACAAAACATAATTCGGCTTATTCACGTTAAATGTGACTAAGAAAATATACAATTCAAATTTGAGTTGATAAAAATCAAATAAAAAAAATACGAAAATTTGTTTTGTGTATTAAGGCAAAAAAGGGTTTACGTAAAAGAAACATATAAAACCTTATTATTATTACTTTTTTGTTTTGACTGTGTTAAAACAATTTTAAGGATTTTAACAATATAATATAATATTTATAATCAAATTATAGTTAAATATAAAATTATTGTTATAAGTTAAACAAATTTTTATTATATTATTTCAAATATAAATGAAATAATTAAAAATATTTGTAAAACAAACAATATTTTTTACACCAAGCTATTTGTTTATTCTTTTTAATACACATCAATAAAATTGGTGTATTAAATACAGTATTTTGTTGTTGTGCTTGTGTTACTTTTACAAAATATTCGATTTAAATTACTTGATGTTTGTTTTGTAATTAAAATAATGATTGAGCAAACATAAAAGACGGTATAACCAAAATTAAACAAATCATTTGGTCAAATATACGATCGATAGATTTTAAACCAAAAAACAAAAACCTAAAAAAACAATTAAGGCAACCGAGTTAAAACAAATTTAAAATTCATACATCAACTTCAATTTATCAACAATTTGCAAAAATTGTTCAAAGCAGCTTGTCTCTTATTTATCCACCAGTAAATCGAATTATTCTCCATGTGAAAGTGTCGAAGTGAAAACATAATTAGAACCATCACAGCCATTACTTTAGTGTATTACATGTACAATTTCAGGAATTGATTATAAATAAAAGCGTCTCGATATAATTGAATTCTTTGTTTAGCTTGATATTTTTATGAATTATTTTAATAAATATAGAAACCAATAATAAATAGTTATTTATTATAAAATAAAATTTATCATTTAAGCCAGACTTTTTATGAGAGATTTAAATTATAATAATTAAAGTCTTATTATAATAATCATAAAATGGTTATTAGTATTAAAAACGCCAAAGAATCGGAAAAAAATAACATCCCGTTTTAATAGCATTTTTAAATACTAATTTTTCATAACAAAAAGCACGGGCTCGAAGTCTATTCATTATAATTTTAGTGATTCAAGTAATTACTTTTTTCAATTAAAAATAATTTAATTAAATTAAATTATCATACTTTGTGTGATTATTTGTTGTGTTTTTGAGAGTATAAAGTAACAATGTGGATTTAACACTTACTACCATTTTTATAAATCATGTTTTATAATTAATAAGTTATAAATTAATGACAATATTATATTATAAAAAATGGTAATTATTTAGTTTTATGATTAAAATAATATTATATTCAAATAAAATAGCTTTTTCTTTTCAAATGTTGAAAAATTCTAATAATTAAATATAATCGAAAAATTTCTTAGAATAAGGCAAAAAGATCAAAGAAATCATGACAACGATTAACCCAAATGCAGCTTCGGGTGCTATTGGTGTTGGAATAATCGTATCATTACCATAGTAGTAGATGTAGTAATCTTCATCGATATCTTTTTCACAAGTCTGGTAAGCATACACAAGTTTTGGTGTTTTTTCATTTGGCGTAGCGCACTTTTCATCACTAAAATAGTATGAAGTTAAAGTAGTTTTATTAGTCTCAAATTTGTATCCAGTAGCATTACTAATACACATATTATCTTTTGTGAAATACATATCTGGATATGGAGTAATATCCAAATTAGCTGTCATATTGCAGTCATTCTTTCCATAATGAACAGCTCTGTAATAATAAGAAGGGAAAGTCTCGAATATTTCAATTTTGTAATCTGAAACTTCCGTAGTTGAAGTTTTAAGATCATCACAAGTGTCGGCAGTGTACATCTTTTCATCGTCTTTGATTTCAACAAATTTGGTATCATCTACTGGACTTACATAGCATTTATTTGGAATGAAAGTTTGGGTATACATTTCTTCTTGATGGGCATACAGTGTTGGGCCATAGTATTTTGTTCTATAAGAACCTGACCCAGAACACTCTCTGAAAGTGTCTTCTTCGTAATTTTCAGTGTCAGGTGTTTTGCATTCCTTGTCTTTGTATGATTTGAAATAAACCTTTTTATCGTCCACACTCAAAGTGAAATAAGACCCATCCATATCAATGCACCCGAGTGACGTGTATATAATATCGGGAAGTGGATACAAAGCACCACTGCATGTCGTAGTATCAACATATGTTCGATCTTGAAGATAATACGAATTTTCCATTTCAGGTGTGACTTTATTTATTGTATCAGTGCTAGTAGAGTCAACCCAATCAGACTCATCGGAAGTGCAAGATGGCGCAATTTGCAATTTGAAAAGCTTTGTAGTGTCTGCAGTCGTGATGATTCTTTGTGCTTTGTTTGTAGCATCTTCATTCCCATAACATCTACCAACTGTATACAATATGTAATATCCAACGTGTTGTATGTATACTCGACCAGATGTGGATTTACTATAATAGAACGTATAGTATTGTTTATTATTGTCTAATACACATTTATTGTATTGATAAGTGTAATTATTATCCAACGTGTTGCATGCCCCATCTGTGTAATAAAAATGTGTTAATTGGTCTTTTGTTGTAATAAAATTGAATCCAGAAGATGCAGAGTTAGACATACAATATCCTTCTTTTTTATAATAGTTATCTGGGTAAGTTGTAAGAGCCAAATTGTTTAAAATGTTACAGTCGTTTGATCCACTGTTAACTTCTTTGAAAAAATATTCTGGAAAAGATGTTACTTTATGTACTGTTTTAGTATCTAACTTGGTTGTCGATTCCAATGCTTCTGGC